CATAGCTCACAAACATAGGCAGCTTATACCCTACAAGAACTTAGTGATCTGTGACTTTAAAATACCAGGCTTACCATAGTGACTCCCATACTTGTATTTCCAGTCCCTAACATTGCACCTGCACTGTACTCTCCTATATGCAACTGCCTACTGGATAGTTCCATCAGCATAGATAACAAGACTTTTATAGTTTAACATTTCCAAATCAACCTTTGGAATATGTGCTATCTCCTCTTCCCTCTGGAGTCTTCCCCATCTCAGTAAATATCTCCATTTCCAGTTGCTCAGGCTAAAACACGGAAATCATTCTTGACTCCTCTCTTTCAGTCATGTATCACACCCAAGCTATCAGGAAATCCTGCCAGTTCCACTGACAAGCATATCCAGAATCCGTCCATTTCTTATCACATTAGGTGATCCACATTCCAGTCGAGCCACCATCTCACTCTCTGATTTAATCTCCATCTACTCTTTCTCCTCCTTTGGCCAAACACTTCTGATCCATAGAGACCTTGCTATTCCGAATCACATTAAGCATTTTCTTACCTCAAAGCCTTTGAAGTTTTGATTTCCTCTGGCTGGAATGCTCTTCCCTTTAGATACTCGTATTATTCACTGATTTCCTTTAGATTTCTGCCCAAATATCAGTAATGTAAAGATAGATCTTTATGGTCACCTAATATTAAAAAATAAATAAGCAAAATATCCTTTCTCGATCCTTCGTCACAAAGTTTTCTGTAATCTGATTATTTTTTGAGCAGTTCAAGGATCGAGCAAGAACTTCTCAACTCTCTCTTGTGAAAATTTTAATACTGGTTTTTTACTTCACTTTGGTACCTCCATGCCTTATTGGAAACTTCCAGTTTAACATCTTACCACATTTTTTAATGTTATGCTTTTCTCATTAGATATTAGCTCCATCAAAGTAGCTAATTGTTTTTCAACAGTTTATCGCCAGCATCCATAATACTGCCTGGTACATAGCTTTCTAGGGTATTTGTTGAATGAATGAAAACAGAAGAGAAATTAGGGAATTATCTGGATGACAGTAAAGGGAAAGATCTGAATAGCAGACCCAGAAAGCAGTTGTAATGCGATAGAAGCCAACATAGTTCTGGAATTCTTTCTACAAAATAAAAGGGAAATGGTAGATCAACTGAAACATTTGGCCATATTGTGATGACTTCCTTGCAATTATCTTGGAGAATTTAGAGAGACTAGTGATAGGATTACAGAAAAACAAAGCCAACAACAATACAACAAGGCAAATGTTGTTCTAGAAAAGCAAACATTGTACAGAAAAGTAACTAAAATCATAGCATACTATGTGGCTCACCAGTGAACAGTATTTCCCTATCACAAAATAAAAGCAATAAATCCAGCTTATTAAAAATCATGATATAACTATACAAGCAGAATGAAGACAGAACATATGTGTTATAGTACTACATTTTTATCTTCTAAATTGGAAACGCAATATATGCTTGAAATTGAAAAAAATCAAGAAATACCAGTATACATGTAGAATTAAAAAATACAGGGGTGGCCAAGCATGGTGGCTCATGCCTGTAATCCCAATACATTGGGAGGCTGAGGTAGGAGGATAGGTAGAGTCCAGGAGTCAGCCTGGGCAATATAATGAGACTCCAGTCTTTACCAATGCATATTTTAAAATTATATATATATATATATATGCATTGGTAAAGACTGGAGTCTCATTATATAAATTATATATACATATAATTTTTTAAATAATTATATTTTATTTTAAATAATTCTACATACATATAATTATTTAAAATAAAAATACAGAGGTAAATAAAAGGAGAAAAAAAGTTAATAATTGAAATTGCTTGCCTCTAATTAAAATCACATCTCATGGATGGGGAGAGCTAAGACCAATGATCAGGGCTTGCTGATTAGAAACCTTGTACTATTTGCTTTTTTAAAACTGTTTGCATATATTACTTTTAAAAATAAAAATCATATTTAAATACACTTTTGTATCATGAAATGACAACAAGTAAGGATGTAAAAAGGTAACAGGTAAAATTCAGATCCTCTGTCAGACCAGAATCTTCCCAACATGTGTATCAAAGAGGAAACCCTCAAAGCGCTTTCAGTGAAATTCAATGCCAGATAGAGTTCAAAACTTCTTCTGTCAAAGTTGTATTTAGTGTCTTTTCTTTTATAAGAATCCTTTTACTTTTCTTTATATTCATACAACCAAAGATTGTATTCCTAACCAATAAGTTGTTTAGTGTTGCCTGTTTTTGACATTGTATAAGTGAATGCCTATTTATACAAATTAGGGTCTTCTATGACCTGCTCCGTTTGCTCATATACATTGATACATTTGTGAGATTCATCCAAGACAATGTATAGCTGCTATTACCTCTGTTTTGCCACTGTACCTTATTCAAATATTTGCCTATACCAAAATTTTTGTTCACTTCACTTTTGGTTGACATGAGTTGTTTACATTTTTTTGCCATTACAAACAAAACTACTAGATTATATAGGATTGGAATTGCTTCTTTAAAATGGATTCATTTTAAATCTAGTAACATTATTAATTTTTTTCTTAATTCTAGTAATTTATAAACTTGTTACTATTATATGTCTATTCATATCTTCTGCAAATAATGACAATGTGTTTTTTTGCCCAGTCCTTTCTTTTCCTGTCTTACCTCACTGAACCTCTAGTACACATTGAGCCTGAGGGTTGGATTGTAATTCATATTCTCAGCTGTGTTAGCTATGTGCTTTCTCTCTTCCCAGGACAGCAATTATGTCCAACAATGTTGATTATCCTTGTTTCCTTGGGAGTAAGTTGAGGAGGGAAGGTTTAATTTTGGCTCACCTTTACAGAGCCAATTGGCATCATACTTTTATGGGGGAGGAATGTCCTCCTATTAGACTTCTCATCTTAGATATATGCCTTGAATTTGTTTCTTGTCCCTGTGAGGCCATCAAGAAATGTGGTTAGGAAGGAAGCCATTTCCATTTCTCCATTACCTTTCTGAGTTCCTAACTTCACTTAGATAACAGACCTGAGATTTTCCTAGTTTACTGTCAGTTTATTGATATACTTAAGAAAATTTTATTAAATATATTTTATCAGAAATGTTATCTGTTTTTATTGGAGAATTAATGTAGGCACCTAGACCACTACGTGATCAGAAACAGCCAGATGAATTTTAGAGATAAAAAAACAAACAAACAAACAAAAAAAACAGACTAAGTTTCTGATTCTCCAGAGAAGTCGCAATAACTAGTTTACATGTGCTGTTTGAAGTAAGGCCAGTTTTCTAAACAATTTTGAATCCTTTTCAATGACGATGCTAAGGTTTTTTTGTTGTTGTTTTGTTTTGTCATTTGTCTTATACTATGTATTCTACAACAGGCTGTGAAAATGTGGGAAGAAAAGAAACAGTTCATTGATTGCACCCTGGGGTCATTTTTTTTTTTTGTAGAGAAAACACATCATTCCAGAAAAATTATCTCCATGCCACACATGTTAAACCAGTGAGTTGCACATCAAGTTTTGAACAAAACACCTACACAAAGTTCTTCACAATTGGTTGACACTTCTTAAAAATAACACAGTAATGTTTCAGCATTCCTCAGAGATCACATTATTCTTTATAGTCCATTTGAGTTACTTCTCCAGCATGCCACATCAGAAACCAATAATGTCTTCAGAATGAGTGCCAAATAAACAGAGTTAAGATTACTCAGATAAACAATGTTAATCTTTAAAATATTTGCTATTTTTTTAGAACAAAGAAAGAGAACATTCATTAAATTTTATGTCTGATTTAATTTGTTTACTCTGTGGCTGTGGCCCTTCATTATTTATTTGTGTTGCCATTTAATTCAACATTTGCTGAACAAAACGACAGGAATTTTGAGTCCCATTTTATTGCATAGATTGCAACTAAAGTTATCAGACTTGACTCATATTCACAGGAGAAACGCAGTCACTAAAATAAGTAGCATCAGTGATATTTTAACTGTAAAATAAATTGTGAAAAAATAACTTATTGTTTGAAAATCAACAATATCTGTCAGCTTTCAGAAGTAAAACTCTTTTTTTTTTTTAATTCATAGCACCTAGAACTAACTGTGGCATATGGGAGAAGCTAAATATTTATGAAATGAGTAACAGTATTGAGGGATATTAAGATAGTAGGTTTTCACACTGCTAAAGAATTGTCTGAGACTGAGTAATTTAAAAAGGAAAGAGGTTGAATTGACTCACATTTCCACATGGCTAGGGAGACATCCCTCAGTCATGAGGGAAGTTGAAGGGGAAGTAAGCTTGGACCTTGTCATATGGCTGCAGTAGAAAGAAGAGCAAGCAGAAAAAATGCCAGATGCCTATAAACCCATCAGATCTCATGAGAATTCACTCACTATCACAAGAACAGCATGGGGAAAACCGCACCGTGATAGAATCACCTCCCCCTGGGTCCCTTCCTTGACATGTGAGGATTGTGGGTATCACAATTCAAGATGAGATTTGTGTGGGGACACAGCCAAACCATATCAGCTCTGAAATGGAATTCCTCATTTGTATTAGAAAGGGAATCACAGAGAGAAGAAAAGCTTTGGGGTCCCACATATCCGGGGTTGTATTTCAACAACATTGCTTATTAACTTCCTGGCACTAACAACTGAGCATCAGATTCCTAATCTGCAAAAAGAGGGTGAGATGCCTAACTCACAGGGTCATTGTGGGGATTAAATGAGATGGCAAATAAGTAGTTAGCACAGTGCCTGGCAAAGAATGGTTATTCAATAACAGCTATTTTGCTCCACTCCTACCCACTTTTTTAAACATAATTTTAAAATGACCTCTTTTACTACTGACATTGAATATGTTGCCTATATCTGATTTATATTATGGTGACTTTTCTTCTTTATGACAGCACTTCTTTTATAGTCCATCAGATCTTCTTAGTTTCTAGCCAAGTGGTAATATATTTTTATTAAAAGTGCTCACTTCAGCATCACATATACTAAAATTGGAATGATACAGAAAGGATTAGCATGGCTCTGGAACAAGGAAGTCATGAAAGTTTGTGAAGGAGTTCCATTTTAAGTAGATTTTTTAAAAGTAATACAAATCAATAAAAAGAAGGAACAGAAAAATATAAATAAATAAAAGAAGGAACATACAAATCAATAAAAAGAAGAAACAGAAAAATAAAAATGAATAAATAAATAAAAGAAGGAACAAGGGTGTACAGGACTCCCATTTTATTCACTAATTCTGTCACTGATCATGGCATCTTCAGTGAACATGCATTTGAAGATAAATGGAATTCATGCTGATCCGGTCATAATTACATTCTTTATCACCTTAATGGCCATTGGTAATGACAGTATTGGGGTGGGGGCTTTTTGTTTTCTCTTTTGAAACAGGATCTCACTCTGTTGCCCAGGTTCCAATGCAATGGTATGATCATGGCTCACTGCTACCTTGACTCCCAGGCTCAAGCGATCCTCCCACCTCAGCCTCCCAAATAGCTAGGACCACAGGCATACACCATACTATTTTTTGTAGAAATGGAATCTCACTGTGCTACCCCAGGCTCGCCTTGAACTCCTGAGCTCAAGTGATCCTCCTGCCTGGCTTCCCAAAGTGCTGGGATTACAGGCATGAGTCACTGCACCTGGCCAGTGGGGGGCTTTTAATACACTGCTCATTTGAAATTTTGTGGTTTAAAGGTTTATCTTCACAATTCAGAACAAAATAAAAATATACAGACTGGCAACATGGAAAGTAATTTGAAATTTAACAAATTGAGAATGTAGGACATTCATTAATAGCCATTAATAACATCATAAGAGAGTCAGCTATTCATGAATGATAGAAATGAAAAAATATATTCATATTCATTCTTTATAATTTGATCTATGTAAAATGCCAAAAACACTAATAATAAATGTATATAAAATATTCTTTTTGCCCTGTGTTACAGAATACTGCTATATTCAGCTGTGTTGCTTGTCTTTTCTCATGGAAAAAAATATATATTTATAAGAAAAAGCCTTGTTGTATTTGCTTGTTATCTATTGCTGCATAAAACATTATTCCAAAACCTAGTATTTAAAATAACATTTATCATCTCATAGTTTTTGTGGGTCAAGATCCAGATATGACTAAGCTAGGTATTTCTGCCTGAAGGTCACTCACAAAGCTGCAAAAAATGTGTTGGCTAGGGCTGAAAAATAAAGGAATATTCAGAGAACAAGAAAGTATTCTCAGAAATTAGAAACACAGTTGTGAAAAAATATACTAAACAGAACTTATAAATGTTCATGTTGAGACTATTTCTTATTAATTTAATAAAATTATGAAAAATTTCACCACGAAGAAAACAAATAAATGACCAAAACCAAGAGATCTCTGTTTGACCAATAGAATTTTCAGAAACAGAAAAGAGAAAATGCACGAGATACAATTATTAAAGATACAATTTAAGTAAAAATTTCAGTATGAAAAAATATACATTTCCACATGAAAAAGACCTGCCAAATGGCCAGAACAATGACTGAAAAAAAATCATACCAAGTGTGCTGAGTGATGGAGCAAGACCCTGACTCACCAAAAAAAAAAAAGGCATTTTCATATAAGCAAGTCCATAAACGTTTTCTTAGATAACCACTGGAAGACGAGTTATGCTAAAATAAGGTAGTCAACGATAAAGTGATAGACATGAGACTCGGAAAATATATACTTCAACAAAGCAAATAAGTAAAGAATACCTCATACATTCTTCTGTCACTTCCTAGGTAGCTTATGTCTACCAGATGTCTGGTCCTATTTTTTTATATCAAGACAGAGCTTTCTTGGGGCAAATTTTTAAGACTAGTAATTACTTTTTCAACAGCACTAGATAGACCTAAAGTAAGGATCAAAATCTTAGTGGAGAAAATACTCTACTATCAGCTACTTTGTTACACATTTCATAACAAGAGCCGACAATTTCAGAGATCTGTTGGTCTCTGAAAAGTCTAGCAAAAAGTCTACAGTACTATTCTTACTTGTACAAAGAAAACTTATAAAGACTGAAGATGTTAATTAACAGTAAAATGTGTTTAAACTGTGGGTAAACAGTGAATGACAAACAGGATTCTGCCCCCTATTAAGTCAGTACCTTGCTGTTTGATTTTCTGCAGACCCAAAGCAGTTGAGAGCTTACTACTGTCCTTTCTCTACTTTGTGTTGAACTCTTTGCTTTCCTTTGCTTTAAGTATCATAAGACAATAATTTCATATGAGTACCAAAAGTATCCAATAGAAGAGAAGCTAAACATGATTTCGTTAACGTGTATTCTGTGTACAGTAACTCTTTAATGACCATAATTTATGGCACAACTTTACATTTTGCATATATCTACAGAATTTACTAAATGTTACTAACAGAAATTAAGGATGACTCTTTGGGATAAGAATTAACATTAACTGACAACTACTCTCTAGGTAAAAGGGTAAGAGGACTTTCTCTGAATCACCGACATTATATAGTGGTTCTTAAAAGGGCTTATCCTCCTGATGAACCAGTAAAACAACATTACTTTTTTTTCTAGACAAACTTCTCTTACTGTTAAACATAAAGCACTACCTTATAGTGCCTGGGAAATATTGTTAATATACAGTTGTGATAAAAGCAATAAATCACACAGGGAGGATATGAATGATTTATTTTTTTCCTAAAGGTTTAATCATTAGATCTACTTCAAACCATTTCCTAAGCAAAAAATCAAGACAAATAATCATCTTTGATACCTAGCTGTTAAGGCTTTGCATACCAGAAAATATATCTGCTTCACAAAGTCAGATAAATAACCTGAGGTACAAAAACTGTTGCTGTTGATTGTGTATATTTTTACTTCAAAGGATCCATGTATTTCAGAAAAAAATGATTTTCTATGATAAAGAATAAAACATAGCTCAGAATTTTCGTCTAAATATCTAAATAAATGCTCATGAGCCAAAAAAAGTGTCAGTTTCATCCCTAGAATACTTTTTATTATTTACACCAAGAATATTTTCAGCTATTGATTTATCTTCACTTTAACTCCAAACATTTATCATATGATTATATCATCTGTAACCTATTTCAAAAATTATTCCTAACTGAAAACTTGTTTGGGGGTGTGGTTAGGCAACAGTATAAACCAATCAACGTTTTACCACTTGCTAACAGCTAAGTGTCATATCAAATGACCTACATCTTATTCTACTGTCTAATTATGAAAGGACGCATTAACAATAAAATAGATACTGTGCAGTATTGCTGGTCTCACTCTCTAATGTTCCAATAGAACATTTTAATTTCTCTCTCATTTTTTCAAAAAAAAAACAAACTAAGTAATAAAATGAGTAGTGATTCCAGACAAGGATTCGGATTCTAAAAGGACTGTTAAACAAAATATTCTGATAAAGCAAGATTTTGATATTATTTTTTACAATGTTTAGAAACAAGGACACTATCCAAAACACATGCTTGACTGTGCTACTATTGATATGAACCACTTCGAGATGTAACCAATTAGCACTTTTTGACCAGAATCAGTTGATCATCAAGTTCTTTCTAAAATTAGACTTCCCATGTCTCAAGAAACCAGAATTTATTATTATAGCCATTTTTCCATGTTTGTTTTGTCAGTTGACTAGTAAGCATAAGCATGGGCTGAAAAATACATACTGAGTATGTATGTATGTATGTGTCTTTATTAATTAAATAGTCTTTTTCTATAACTCCATTTATTATAGAAAATATTAAATTTTACTTATTTAAAAATATTTATTTATTTATTTATTGAGTCAGGGTTTTGCTCTGTTGCCCAGGCCAGAGTGCAGTGGCACAATCACGGTTCACTGCAGCCTCGATCTCCTGGGCTCAAACACTTCTCCCACCTCAGCCTCCCAAGTAGCAGCAACTACAGATATGTGACACCATGCCCAGCTATACTTTTTATTCTTTGTAGAGATAGTATCTCACTATGTTGTCTAAGCTGATCTCGAACTCCTAGACTCAAGTGATCCTCCTGCCTTGGCATCCCGAAGTGCTGGGTTTACAAGTGTAAGCCAAAATATAAACCTTCATATCCTCTTTCTTGGCCTGATCACATGAATAACTTTGAGTCTTAAATGTCTAGATTTTGTTGTGCAGATCAGAGTACCAAATAAAGAAATAACTAAAGGGGGTTTGAGCTAGATTGCTTTACACTGGAAATGATAAAGAGTTGCTTGCAGAAGAAAAATATAGATCCTAAAGGAAAGGAGGGCAAGAAAGGTAAGGACTAATCTAGGCTGTCCTCAGGGAACATTTTAAGAAATTCTGAGGATGAATATAGAGTAAGCTGCTCTAACACGTGGTACAGGACTTAAAGATCAGTGGGTCCAGGCACGGGAGCTCACGCCTGTAATCCCAGCACTTTCGGAGGCTGAGGGGGTGTGGATCACCTGATGTCAGGAGTTCAAGGCCAGCCTGGCCAATACGGTGAAACCCCGTCTCTACTAAAAATACAAAATTAGCCAGGTGTGGTGGTGCATGCCTGTAATCCCAGCTACTCAGGAGGCTGAGGCAGGAGAATCCCTTAAACCTAAAAGGCAGAGATTGCAGTGAGCCAAGATCACTCCATCACCCTGGGCAACAAGAGTGAAACTACATCTCAAAAAAGAAAAAGAAAGAAGATAAGTGGGGCCAGGCACAGTGGCTCATACCTGTAATCCCAGCACTTTGGGAGGCCAAAGGGGGCAAATTACCTGAGGTTAGCAGTTTGAGGCCAGCCTGGCCAACATGGTAAACCCCAACTCTACTAAAAATACAAAAATTAGCTGGATGTGGTGGCAAATCCCTGTAATCCCAGCTACTTGGGAGGCTGAGGCAGGAGAATTGCATGAACCCGGGAGGTGGAAGTTGCAATGAGCAGAGATCACGCCATTGCACTCCAGCCTGGGGAACAAGAGCAAGACTTCATCTTAAAAAAAAAAAAGGAGATAGGTAGAAAAAGGATTTAAATACATTTTGTTGTGTATTAAGACCAAACTCCTTTGGGGGGTTTTTCAGAGATATTAGTAAACTAA